CCCCAAAACCCCAAAACCCCAAAACCCCGAAAAATTCATTTACTTCTATTTTTAAATTGGATACTAATAATCAATTAAATAAATATGTCAATGACAGATAAGAATAATAGCTCGTCAAGAGTTAAGTTGAAGTCACTCTCTGTTCTTCTTGCTATACTTGGAATCAGTTCTATCCAAGCCGTAGACTACACTTGTGATCCAGGCAATTTTTTGAAAGATGGGAAATTCTGCTAACCCTGCAGACCAGGTATACATATTTAACCATTACATATAATAAACTAAATTGTTAGGATACTATTGTACTGGTGGAGTCATAACCTATATGAAAAAGTGTTCTCCTGGCTTCTATACAACTTACGGTGCTTCTGTTTGTGCTAAGTGTCCTGCTGGTTTTTCTTGCTCAGATCCAACTCAGCCTCCTGAAGCTTGCCCTCCAATGAAATACTCTGTTGAAGGGTCATCATCTTGCTCTTTATGCCCTCAAGGATCAGTCTGTAATGCAAATGGAGTTGTCACTGCTTGTAATCCTGGTGAGATTTGTAGAAGTGACGATTTTACTGAGAAAGAGCCTTGCCCTCGTGGACATAAATGTCCTTTCCCTGATCAACCTGATTTGATAATCGAGTGTCCTGCTGGAACATATGCTGCAGAAAATTCGACAAGTTGTACACTCTGCTCTCCTGGCTATTCTTGTCCATTGGGTTCATCAGCTCCTTTCAAATGTCCAGCAGGTACTTTTGCTGATGAAGCTGGTCTATCCTCTTGCAAGATTTGCACTCAAGATTATTACTGCGATGGAGTCTCACCAATACGTTACAGATGTGAGTTAGGCTAATATTCATCAGAGGGCGCCTCTGCATGCACTGATTGCCCAGCTGGTTTCTACTGTCCTCCTGAAAGTGAACCAACTTACCCAATAATTTGTGAAAAAGGTTATTATTCAACAGGAAAGGCAAGTATTTGCTACCCATGCCCAGAAGGATATGAATGCTAAGATAGAAAATCCCTCACTAAATGTGCTGATGGCTTCTACTCACTTGCTGGAAATGATGCTTGTATCTAATGCCCTCCAGGTTATGAATGTGGATCTTGGGGAACACCAATGCCTTGCTCCCCTGGTTAATACTCACTTCCAGGCTAAAAGTAATGCACTTATTGCCCACTAGGAAACTATTGCCAATCAACTAAAGCATTGCCAGCCTAATGCCAACTTGGATACTACTAGGATGAATTAGGTAAGGCCTATTGTAAAGAGTGCCCAGATGGTTTCACTTGTGTTGACTAGACTATCGCTCCAGTTCAATGTCCTTCTGGATAATTCACAGATAAATACCATTAATAATGCTATGTAAGAAATCAGTCATAAATTAAACTAATTATAGCAATGCCCAGCAGGCTATGATTGTTCAAAGAGAAAATATGAAGAGATCTTCTTTTGTGGAAAAGGCTAGTATTCTCTAGCAGGTGATGTAGTCTGCAAGTATTGCCCATCTGGCTATTTCTGCGAAAGACCAGATATTGATAAGCAAGAATGCCCAGTCGGCACTTACTCTATTGAAGGCTAAGTAACATGCACTGAATGTCCACTAGGCTATTAATGTTTGGATAAATAAGGCAAGTACATTGTCAAATGTCTAGAAGGAGAATATTTTGACTCAGTGACGAAAACATGTACTGAATGCCCCAAGGGATATGCTTGTCCTGTTGGAGCTGCAACAGCAGGATTTGATGTCATGATTAAATGTGACCCAGGTACTTATTCAATTGGAGGTTAAACTGCTTGTACGATATGTCCTCCTGGAAAATATTGTCCTGATTTCGATAAAGCAACAGTTAAGGATTGCCCAGATGGTTATATATCTTTTGGAAGTGCTTCACAATGTTAAGGCTGCCCCAAAAACTATGAATGTCCAACAAAATCCTCATTAGCCCTTTGTCCAACTTATTTCTACTCTGATGAAAATAACAACACTTGCAAGCCTTGCCCAGATGGTTTCAACTGTATGTACCCTAATGCAACATTTCAACTGTGGTGTCCTGCTGGCTATTACATGCAAACTTTGGATTGGACTTGCTAAATCTGCCCGATAGGAGCCAAGTGCCCAAAGAATTCTACCAACCCAACATATTGCGAACATGGTTAATATTCTGACATGATGGGATCAGTTGAATGTAAGACATGTCCAGTTGGATACTTCTCTAAATTTGGCTCTGAATTCTGCTAACCTACTCCTCCTGGAGCATCTTCACCAAAAGGTGTCTATCATGTCTGCTAAGAGGGTACATATAGTGACTGGGGTTTCTCATATTGCAAAATTTGTGAGCCAGGATTTCTCTGTCCTAAAGGTTCAATGATCGGAATGGCCTTATCTTGCCCAAAAGGTAGCTATTGCATTGAAGGTGTCCAATATAAATGCAAACAAGGATACTTCGGAATAGCAGAAAGAGCTTCTACAGAATAGCATGGCTGTGCAGTGTGTCCAGCTGGTTTCTTCTGTCTTGACGGCACTGATAATTTTGAATTAAATCCATGTCCAAGAGGACATTATTGTCCTATAATGACAGGTCTTCCTATTGAATGTCCACAAGGAACCTATAATGATCAGTTATATAAGAGAACAATTGCTGATTGCTAATAATGTCCAATGGGCCACTAATGTGCCAATGCTACTAAGAATCTTGGTGAGATTTGCCAAGAGGGATACTATTGCCCATTAGGCTCTTACCCTGGCTAATATCCATGCCCTGCAGGGACCTTTGGAGGTTACAGAACTGGGTTAAAAGATGCAAGTGAATGCTAAATATGTCCCGCAGGTTACTACTGCCCAGAAGGCACAGTTAATCCTATACCGTCTAAGCCTGGCCAATATCAGCCATACTCCTCAATTGGAGACGAATAAGCATTACTAATATGCCCTCCTAAGTACTATTGCCCTAACTCCTTCATGACAAACTATAAAGGTTATCACTGCCAGCCAGGGTATTACTGTCCTGCAGGTAGTGTTTCGCCTACTGATCACCCATGCCCAGAAGGAACATACTCAGATAGCCATGAGATATTTGACTAATCTTAATGCTTAAGCTGTCCTCGAGGATTTAAATGTGGGTAAGCAGCATACACAAATTCTAACTTTACCAATTGTCCAAGAAACGAGTATTGTCCTCTAAGAACAAGAGCATCTGACACCTATCTATGCCCAGCTGGATCATATGCTCCCTATCTAAACTCTAAATCCCTAGATGATTGCATTGTCTGCCCATTTGGATACTACTGCTTATCTGGAAAAGATCCTGTTATCTGTCCTGAAGGAAACTATTGTCCAAATGGTACCTAATTTGATAAATAATATCCATGTCCTGCTGGAAGTTATTTGGATTATACTGGAGGTAAAGTACTTGGAGAATGCAAACCTTGTGGCTTGGGAAACTACTGTCCAGAAGGTTCTATAAGACCAATCCTATGTGAACCAGGATATTACAACGATTTCTCAAACGAAGCCAAAACTTGCAAGAAATGTGACCCAGGTAGATATTGTCCATTGGATGGAACAATCTCTTAGCCACTCTGTATAGAAGGCAAATACTCAGGAATTTAAGCTACTAAGTGCACCTATTGTGAAGTAGGTCATTACTGCCCAAATAAAGGCACAACTGAGAACGAGCATACAGACTAATTATGTCCTGTAGGGGTCTATTGCTTCAGAAAACTCGTCAACTTCAATGATCTTGATGAAGTGACTTAATAAACTGAAATAATAAATGGAGAATATGGATTGAATGTTCATCCCAACCTTTAAGATCACTCTTGTGCAGTCGGTTTCTATTGCCCAGCTGGTACATAAAAAATGATTGCTTGTCCGATTGGAACTTATAACAGATTAAAAGGCAGAAAATCGATCTTAGATTGCTAAAAAGTTGAGGGCGGCTATTATGTAGATGAAGAGGCATCTAGTACTTGGTCTGGGGAATGTGATCCAGGTCACTATTGTCCAGATGGTTCATCATCAGCAAAAGAAGTAGAATGTCCAAAAGGTACCTACAGAGCTATAAATAGAGGAAGTGAGCCAAAGGATTGCTCAATATGTCCATCTGGAAGTTATTGTGATGATACTGCTATGTTTTAGCCTAAAACTTGTCCAGTAGGATTCTATTGTCCAATTGGAACAGTTGTTCCAGAGCCATGTCCTGAGGGTACTTACGGAGGACAATAAGGATTAACTGATTCGAAAAGTTGCACCCTTTGTCCGAGTGGCTATTACTGTCCTTAGAGAGGTCAAACTTCTGCTTCATTACTTTGCGATGAGGGATATTTATGCATTAAAGGGTCAAGAAAGCCAGAACCAACAGATAATGTCACTGGATCGCTCTGTCCTGCAGGTGGATACTGTCCTCAAGGTGCTTAATCTGCTAAAAACTGCAGTCCTGGTACCTATAACATGTTTGAAGGAGGTGAAGTTGCTTCAGATTGTTAGCAATGTCTTCCAGGATACTATTGTTTGGGCTCAAATTCGGCAAAACCAACAGACCTTTGTCCAGCAGGTTATTATTGTCCAGCAGGTACATCTAAACCCACTCTAAAAGCAAAACCTGGAAATTACACTCCTAAAGGTTCATCAGTATAATACAAATGCCAAAGAGGAACTTACAGTCCAGCAGAAAATCAAAGTTCTTGTACTTATTGCCCAGCTGGAAAATTCTGTCCTAATTAAATGATGACTACAACTTAGAACTGTCCTATGGGACATTACTGCCCTTCCTATCAATATTTCGTTGAAAACAACATTTACTATGATAAACTTAAATGCCCATCAGGAACCTATCACAATCTTACTGATTAAAAGAATATAACAGCTTGTCTTCCTTGCCCTACTGGAAAATTCTGTGCTGGAGAAGGATTGGATAAATACAATGGGTCTTGCTCAGAAGGCTTTTATTGTAATAAATATGCAGAAAGTCCTACTCCTTCAAATGAGAGTGCTTATGGTTACTTTGGTCCTTGTAAGGCAGGTTATTATTGTCCAGCAGAGACTCCTAATCCTAAGGCATGCCCTATAGGAACATTTTCGAGTAAGTTTATAATTACTTAGATTATTTTTAGATTAATCTTAAGCTTCAAGTATTGATGTTTGCCTGCCTTGTCCAGAAGGATATTACTGTGATCAAGAAGGATTATCATAGCCGGCTGGGTTATGCAAAGAGGGTTACTACTGTCCTTAGGAATCAAAATCTTCATCTAATTAAACATATATCTGCCCAACGTAGCATTATTGTCCTTAAGGAGCAGCATCCCCTATCAAATGTCCGGTTGGGTTCTATCAAGATTTGTATGGCCAAGGAAAATGCTTGGAATGTCAAAAAGGAAACTATTGCATATTTGGTGAAAAGAAGGAATGTCCTAGTGGCTATTATTGTCCTTGAATAGCAATAATATTTCAGCAAACAAAATAACTAATATTCAAGATTATTCTTAATTTCATAACTTCTTAGTCAAGCACAAATTTGAACTCGTGGGGTTTTGGGGTTTTGGGGTTTTGGGG